TCTGCATCTATGCATGGTGCTAGCCTCGCGCAGTAAATACAGTCGAATTTACGAAAATCGGCCGGATGAAGTTAGAGCTGAACAGGCCCATAAGATGGTTTTATGTACTTTGTTTGATAGAGCGCAGGGACGGAGACCTTCTTCTCTGTTCCCAATACTCCCCAAACCAAATATCCATTAAATGTAGAGAGGGACGCGGCAGCGTTCCTTCTCACTTGTAATTCAACTAATGTGTGACTAGGCAAAATTTTAATCTTAAATTGCTTCCTCAATGAAAAATTCCACGGTTCCAGCTGAAGTAGGCAGACGTTAACAATTTTTCGACATTTTCCCGTCCGCCAAATAATCTAAGGATTAAATGGTGGCAAGCGTACTTTAAATAGACTATTTTTATAGTGCAATACGTACAGTTCTAGAATCTGAAGCCTTTGCAAATGTATCAACCGAGAATGTGTGTTAATATCAAAAGAATTCAGTAAGCATAGAACATACTTAGGCATAAAGTGAAAACTTTTGGAGGGAAAAATAGTCTCTTAAAGTACACACCTCTTCCCCGGGGTTGTATTTGTCATTCCAGTAAAATTCGCGATTGGCTCGGGAAGAAAGACATGCCTTTAGGTGAGTGCTAACAATAGGCTGACTGCGGAGGAGCTACAAGAAAGTTATTAAAAAAACAAATAATTATTACCGAGCGAACTGAGAGCATCTTTTTTCCGGAATAGACGTAGGACGCCCGAGAAGGAGAATGCCACCAAACTGCAGCACATCTCGACGAAACCTCGCCTAAATATCAAACAGCCGGCGCTAGAGTAACTAATCAGAAAAGGCGCATTGGTTCGGGTCGCAACGTTCAAGTTGGAAAGTTTCATCTGAAAGTCTATTCCCTAAAATGGAAAGTAGTTTGCAGGTCGAAAAATACATGTAGTTCAAAATGTATACTTCGAGGTACGCTATGAATACCTGTCTAGCAAGTGCTATTGAAAGCACAATAAAGCAACGTTGGGATGCAGCTAGCCATGGAGACGGTTCAAGCTAAGCAAGGTAACGGATATTCCGGAATTACTTTTTATCCGAGAGATCTCTTGTGAGGACTTTCACAGTTTTTGAATCGAAACTTCAATCCCCAACAAAACTCCCCGAGGATGTGTTTAGGAACGACAGCAAGTTAAGCAGAATAGTACTACTAAATCTACCGTCATGCGTCCAGACGAGATTGTAACCGCTAACCGTTTCCTTAAACCCTTACGTTTAAACGCCTGCCCTAGGCACAACCTCAGCCTCAACTCTTAGTCCGAATGACACTACCGACATAGACAAGGGAAATTGGTAATGCCATTCTGCCTATATCATGCGCCGCTGTGCGGCTGCTGGTCAGGCTCGAGAGAGAGCTCGTAAGGCACAACGGAACGAGTGAGTTCCGTATGAACGATCGGTGAGCGCCGCCAACCATTAGCCCTTAGTCTTAACATAACCTTTAACCTTCTTCCAACACCAGTTTTTAATCCAAGCCTAAGTTTAACCCAGACCAATAACCCTTACCTCAACCCCTAACATTAAGAACGACCCCTAACCCTGTCCATAAAAACTACACTAATTCCTGATCCTAACCTTAGCCCCAACATGAACTATTATGTCAAACACTGGGCCTAACTAATCTTTGTCGATAATAATCCTTAACCTAACCCCAGCAATTAACAATAACCCGGCAACCTATAAATGCTAATCACAACTATAAACTCAACCTAGACTCGTCTACAGCAACTGGCCTGCCTTCCAGCCCACTTCTCCACTCGCGACAACTGAGTCACATTATCTGGAGCATTTTTCCGTCAGCCCCCG